AAAATCACGTTTTTAGCTTGTGGACACTCTAGAGGTCACAGTTTTGATCTGATTTTGATGAAACACGAAATGTATGTTTATAACCCAAAGATCTTGGTTCCTTTCGATATTCACGCATATCGGATCATAACTTTCCGAATTATAACCCCTGATTGTAAGAAAAATCGCGTTTTGGCTTGTGGTCACTCCAGAGGTCACACTTTTTATCCGATTTTAAAAAACGTTTAATTATCACCGTTACACTGTAATGAAGGTTGAGGTTGAATTTCGTGAAAATCGGACCAAAACTGCCAGACAAAATGGTCGCCGCTTGTTTTTGCGAATAGTGTAAAAAATTTGGTATATCAAAGTTGTGGACCCTGTAGAGGTCACAATTTTAATCCGATTTTGATGAAACTTGAAATGCGTGTTTATAACCCAAAGATCTTGAATCCTTTCAATATTTGTGCATATCGGATCGTAACTTCCTGATTTATGGCCTCTGATTATACGAAAAATCGCCTTTTTTAGCTTGTGGTCCCTCTGGAGGTCACAATTATTATCCAATTTTAAAAACTGTTTGAAGGTTGACTTCGAATTTCATAAAAATCAGACCAAAACTGCCGGACAAAATGGCAGCCATTTGTACGTGAATAGTGTAAAAATATGGTAAATCAAGGTTATGGACCCTGTAGAGCAGTGCTTCACAACCTTAATGATACAATTCCCCACTTGAGAAATATTTTCTCCGCTATTCACCCCCCTGGCACTATAAAACATCAAATTACTAAAAACTAAAAACTGAAACATGCTAATTAGGTATCGTTTCAAACACATATTTAATGAACAGATGCCATAGATTTACACATAAAATTACTAAGCGATCAACGATCTATCCTACCTAGCTGTCTATAGTCTATTTCACATTGAGATGAGACGAGGCTACCCACTTCCCGGACAATCAACAGTACAGCGAGATAGGATAAGTGCCATTATACTCGGCGTTGAAATTAATTATGCTAGTGCAAGTCAGTCATTTAGTTTCCGACCAATGGCTACGCAGGTTTGTGGTCGGTAACATTCTGACTGATGGCTCCCGGTCAGGAGTCTGAAAACTCAATTCATGCAAATTCCCCCCTGTTCACAAAATTCACCCCTTTGTGTATAATTCACCCTCAATTCCCCCTTTTTCCAAATTTCACCCCCGAGCATTTTGAATTCACCCCTGGGGGTGCACATGGACCCCGGTTGAGACACACTGCTGTAGAGGATACAATTTTGATCCGATTTTAATGAAACTTGAAATGCATGTCTATAACCCAAAGATATTGGTTGCTTTTGATATTCACGCATAATGGATGGTAACTTCCTGAATTATGTCCCTTGATTGTACATAAAATCGTGTTTTAAGCTTGTGGTCCCACTAGAGGTCACAATTATTAATTGATTTAAAAAACTGTTCGAATAGATCACTGTTACACCCTAATGTTAGTCGAGTTCGAATTTTGTGATAATTGGACGAAAACTGCAGGACAAAATGTCGCCCCCCCCCCTACGCAAATAGTGTAAACATCTGGTATATCAAGGTTGTGGACCCTCTACAGGTCACAATTTTGATCCGATTTTGCTGAAACTTAAAATGCATGTTTATAACCCAAAGATCTTGGTTGCTTTTGATATTTGCGCATATCGGATAATCACTTCCTGAATTATGGCCCCTGATTGTACGAAAAATCACGTTTTTATCTTGTGGTCCCTCTAGATGTTATAATCTTTATCCGATTTACAAAAACGTTTAAGTATATCACCGTTACATCCTAACGATGGTCGAGTTTGAAATTCGTGAAATCGGACCAAAACTGCCGGACAAAATGGCCACTTCTCGTACGCAAATAGTGTAAATATATAGTATATCAAGGTTGTGGACCCTCTAGAAGTCACAATTTTGATCCGATTTTGATGAAACTTGAAATATATCTTTATAACCCAAAGATCTTGGTTCCTTTTAATATTTCGTGCATATTGGATTGTAACTTCCTGAATTATGGCCCTTGATTGTTTGAAAAATCGCTTTTTGTTTAGCTTGTTCTCTATCCATCTCTTGCAAAATGTGGGCGTATCCTGCCTGGCAGCCGCTGGTTTTGAGTTGTTAACATCGATTATTGTTTTATTAATGTTTTTGGTACCTATATCGTTATATTGATGTTTTGGGTATCTTTCTTTTGTGTTATTGTTTATATTATGTATTCAGCGCTGTTTTACTCAACATGTTTTTGAGTTGTTTACATCGATTATTGTTTATTAATGTTTTTGGTACCTTTTTCGTTATATTGATGTGTTTGGTACCTTTCTTTTGTGTTATTTATTTGTTTTTGTATTCAACGCTGTTATATACTTAACATGTTTTTTAGTTGTTTACATCGATTATTGTTTTATTAATGTTTTTGGTACCTTTTTCGTAATATTGATGTGTTTGGTACCTTTCTTTTGTGTTATTATTTATGTTGTTGTATTCACCGCTGTTATATACTTAACATGTTTTTTAGTTGTTTACATCGATTATTGTTTTATTAATGTTTTTGGTACCTATCGTATAAGTTATATTGATGTGTTTGGTACCTTTCTTTTGTGTGTGTTTTTTTTTTTAAATGTGGCACCCCTATTGTTTTATTGATGTGTTACACTTTTATTAATGTGTTTTGCACTACCAGTTTTTAACAAATGGATTTAATAACCCGGTATGTTTTATACTGATTTTATTTAACTTTGATATAATGCAAGGCAATGAAATGATCTAAAGGCAGGAGGTTGTTAAATATCTCTTGTCCTGTCACCATCACCCTTTCACAATCTAATTTAGTCCAATGCCAAGCTTATCTGAAATTGGTGAAAGTTTACCTGGCTCTCAAAGGCAGCAAAGGAAGGCGAGGGATCATTTAGCCTAAGCTGTACTGGCTTGAAACAATTCTGGTAACCTGTTCCTGCTAAGTAAAAATGGCGATAGTATCCTAAGTTGTCCTGGCTTGAAAGTTAGCTGTATCCTAAGTTGTCCTGGCTTAAAAAAAAGTTTGATTGTATAGTGATAATGGATATTTTATCCTGGTCTAAAATAAGTTAATATCCTAATTATTCACAAGCTGGTCTGGCTTAAAACATCCTAATAGTATCATAAGCTTCCTTGGCTTGAAACAATCCTGATAGTATGCTAAGCTGATCTGGCTTGGTGAAATTGGGCGATAGTTTCCTAAGGCGTGAAACAATCCTGATTGTATCCCAAGCTTTCCTGGCTTGAAACAATCCTGATAGTTTGCTAAGCTGTTCTGGCTTTGTGAAATTGGGCGATAGTTTCCTAAGGCGTGAAACAATCCTGGTTGTATCCCAAGCTTTTCGGGCTTGGTAAAAATGGCGGACGATAGTATCCTTAGCTGTCCTGGCTTGAAAAATGGCGGGCGATGGTTTCCTAATCTATTCTGACTTGGAAAAGGTTGATTATATCCTAAACTGTTGCGGCTTTTTACATGTTGAATGTAGGCTCAGCTGTTCTTGCTAAGTAAATACAGTCGATAGTATCCTAAGCCGTCCTGGCTTGAAACAATCCTGATAGTATCCCATGCTTTCCTGGCTTGAAACAATCCTGATAGTGTGCTAAGCTGATCTGGCTTGGTGAAATTGGGCGATAGTTTCCTAAGGCGTGAAAGAATCATGATGGTATCCCAAGCTTTTCGGGCTTGGTAAAAATGATGGGCGATGGTATCCTAAGCTGTCCTGGCTTGAAAAATAGCAGGCACTGGTTTTAGCTCTGTAAATATCTCTTATCCAGTCACCAACACTATTTCACGATCTAATTTAGTCCAATGCTAAGCTTATCTGAGAGTTGTCCTGGCTTAAAACAATCCTGATAGTATGCTAAGCAGATCTGGCCTGGTAAAATTTGGCGATAGTTTCCTAAGGCGTGAAAGAATCCTGATTGTATCCAAAGCTTTTCGGGCTTGGTAAAAATGTCGGGCAATGGTATCCTGATAGTATCCCAAGCTGCCTGGTTGCATGCAATCCTGATGGTAATCTAAGCTAGGTAGAAACGGTGATAGGATCATTCTGAGCCGTCCTGGCTTAAAAAAGGTTGATTGTATCCTAAGGCCTCCTGGGTTGGTAAAAGTTTATTGTATCCTAAGCTGTCCTGGCTCGAAGAAGGTTGATTGTATTTTAAGCATTCCTGGATTTAAACAATCAGTGTATTCCAAACTGTCCTGGCATGAAACAGTCCTGATAGTATCCTGATAACATCATAATGTGTTCTGGCATAGTGAAAATGGGAAATATCATATTAAGCTGTCCTGAAACAATCCCGATTGTTTTCTAAACTGTCCTGGTTTGAAGAAGGTTAGTTGTATCCTAAGCTGTCCTGACTTGAAAAGGGTTGATTGTATCCGAAACTGCCGTGGCATGAAAAATGTAGTTGGCATCCTAAGCTCTTCTGCTTTGGTAATGGTTTATTATACATTTGTATCTATAGCCTGTCCTAGCTTGAACAAATCATATTAGTATACTAAGGTGCCCAGGCTTAAAAAAAAGATTGATTGTCTCCGAAGCTGCCCTGGCTTGAAATATGTAGATGGCATCCTAAGCTGTTATGGTTTGGTAATGGTTCATTGTTTCTAGAGCTGTCCTAGCTTGAACAAATTATATTAGTATACTCAGCTGTCCTGGCTAAAAACAAGGTCGATTGTATCCTCAGCTGTCCTGATTTATAAATGATTGAATGTATTCTAATGTATCATGTGGAATGTGTCTTGATTTTGTGTGAACCAATATTATGTGTACCCTAAGCTCTCCTGTTTTAAAAACAATGCTTATATTATGATATTTTAAGTTGTACAATAGTAGTGATAATTTATTAATACTAAAGTAACAAATTTCCCTAGTTACTGTTCATTATTACCAGGAATGAATAGTGTTTTGATTTTATTGTTTTATAAGCCTTACTATTTTTTTTTATTTTTTTTTTTATTTTTTTTTTTCAGTTGAAAGATATTTTAGAGCTTTCAGAGAAATGAATGGAATCTGTCATGAATAACCTTATGACATTTATAAAGATCCAGTTGCTATATAATGATGGTTAGTGTTTCATTTCTTGTAGAATGTATCATAAAAGTCAAACATGATTGAAACTCGATTTGTAATTGACATTCCGTTATCAGAGTAGCCAATTGTATTTCGTTTTCCTGTAGCCTTCGTACAGCGCCTTTCTTTCTGCATGCAGATTTGACTTCATTACTCTAAAATAGACTGTGAAAATCAAAGACGAAAAAATATCTCAATATACTTTAGAATTAACAGTACAAATAAATTTTGTTGGTAACCATCTAAATGGAATAACAGATTGAGAAGTGTCATCTAACAATCTTTGGGTATTGATAATATGGAAAGTGTAGTGTCGTTAATGTCATTAATTAATCAATCCGACTAAAGTTGCACAGACATGAAGTCATAAATTAATTTACACCTCGATGATTAGGTAATTAATTGTCTTTTATACGCTGGCCAGATCAAAAACATCACTCTAGGTGGAACGTGTGCGTAATACCCCACGAACGAACTAATCGTAGAATCGTACACACGTTACTTGTATAAAATAATAACTTTTTACTCATCAGTTGTTTATAATTATTATTTATCAATTAGCTTTGCTCGCCAATGTTTTTATATGCCCACAAATTTTATGTGGACATATATTGTCGTTGCCCCTGTCCGTACGTCCACAATTGTTTGTGAACACTCTACAGGTTACAATTTTTTTCCGATTTCAATGAAACTTGAAATATAGGTTTATCACCCTAAGATCTCGGTTCCTTTCGATATTGGCATGTATCGGACTGTAACTTCATGGATTATGGCCCCTGATTGTACGAAAAATCATGTTTTTAGCATGTGAACACTGTAGAGGTCACAATTTTTATCCGATTTGGTTTAAACTTGAAATGCATGTTTAAAACCCACAGATCTCGTTTCCTTGCGATATTCGCGCATATCGGACCAGAACTTCCTGAATTATGGCCCCTGATTGTACGAAAAATCGCGTTTTTAGCTTGTGGACCCCAGAGGTAACAATTTTTATCCGATTTAAAAAAACGTTTTAGTATATCACCGTTACACCCTAAGAATGGTTGAGTTCGAATTTCGTAAAAATCGGACCGAAACTGACGGACAAAATGGCTGCCCCTCGTTCGCAAATAGTTTCAAAATATTGTGTATCAGGGTTGTGGATCCTCTGGAGGTTACAATTTTCATCTGATTTTGATGAAATTTGAAATGCATGTTTATAACCCAAATATCTTGGTTCCTTTCTATTTTCTAGAGGTCACAATTATTATTCGATTTAAAAAAAAAACCGTTCACATATATCACTGTTACACCGTAACTTCCTGGATTATGGCTCCTGATTGGTCGAAAAATCACATTTTTAGCATGCGGATTCTCTAGAGGTCACAATTTTTTTTTTTCCGATCTTAAAAATCGTTTAAATATATCACCATTTTTATTCGATTTTGATGAAACTTAAAACATATCTTTATATCCCAAAGATCTCAGTCCCTTTTGATATTTGGGCATTTCAGACCATAACTTTCTGGATTATTTCCCCTGATTGTACAAAAATTCCTTTTTGTTTTTAGCTTGTTCTCTATCCATCTCTTGCAAAATGTGGGTGTATCCTGCCTGGCAGCCGCTGGTTGTAATAAAGTAGCCTCATATTATTTGTTGATTGGCGTTTAAACAGCATTTAATTGACTTGATAAGAAATCTGAATATAAATTATTCGATGGATAGACGTTTGTTATGTCTAATATCGTTTAACTTCTTTATAATAAAGGTATTTTACAATTACATTGACAGTTTAATCACTCACCAAATGGCATCAGGAACTCCACGTATGATCAAGTGTATTTGATATTCATGTCCAGGCCTGGAAATAACGGTTTTAGATCTACCTGACAAAATGTCAGGCACTCATGAAATAGTACCTAACATTTTCAACTTAGTGCCGGACATGTATTAATAATATTAATAAAAAAGACAAATCAGTGCCGGACAAAATGACAGGCACCAGCAGTTTAGTGCCAGACAAAGTCTGAATCTGTGCCTGACATTGTCTGTGACAGGTGCCTTATTTCCAGACAGGTGTCCATGATTCCCATGCAATTTTCGCGCCAAAGTTTAACCTCAGTTACTACGCCCGTAGTATGCATGGAACCGTACATGGTAATTAGATTCCCAGGGTTGATTCACTGAGAAATGAGGGCGATCTATTGTTATAAATAGTCATCGCAAAATTCCATATTTGCTGTGAATTTCAAATGGAGTTACGATAAAAGTTGTTCTTTGTGTATAGAAACTTGTCAACTGGTGGTGTGTATAGACAGTGATATATTGTAAAGACAGTGATATATTGTATAGATAATGTATATACTATGTGTAGTGTTTGAGACGTCACCAGCCAATCAACCGGATTAAGGTCGTAATTGAAAAATTGAAAAGCGTTTTTGAGTGTCAGATACTTAAACGTATTAATTTTAATCAGATTGGTGTGAGCTTGCCGTAAAAGTGGATATATAGTAACCATTGGCTATACGTACATGAAATTTCGATTTTTCACCTTATGTGGTCTTTAAAGTTACAAAATTTTTTTAAAATAGTTATGTCTGTTTTATATGAAATAACTTCCTTCTGATTTTCTATTCTAAATATAATAGTGTCGTGCAGAAAAATATAAAGCTAATATTCTTGAGCTGAGATCTGTGGTCTAAGGGTAGACAACTCTTGGATGTAACAGGATGTAGACCACCATTAATTTCTCCATTGAATCTAATGAGTGGTGTTCTACATGCTTTAGCCTATTCCCCAAATTTTGTTGAGAACCTCCCTTTACAGCACAGTATACGGCAATACTATATACTGGAAAACAACCGGAAAACACCATTTTATACTGAATACCGAAAAACACTAAATACCGGAAAACACCCTAAATAGGTAACCCGGAGCCTGGTCCTCTGTGTGCAGTTTTGGACCAAGTGAGTGCAGATGAAGGAAGGTCAAGGTCATTACGATGTTCGTTTAACAAATAGCCCCCCCCCCCCCCAAAAAAAAAAAATTTCCGATTTTTTTTTCTCCCAAATTTTTTTGAACAAAAAAATTTTATGTCACAAAAAAAAATTGAATTTTTCCAAGAAATTGGTTATACAAAAAAACATTCTGTAGAAAATAATTTTACAGAGAAAAATACTGGAAAAAAAAATTTGAATTTTTTTTTTGATAGAAATTTGGGAGAAGAAATTGTTAAAAAAAATCTGAAAATTTTTTCTTTGACCGTAGGCGATCGCTCGCTTGTATGTTAATGAACTTATTTCATCAGCGCTCACCTGGTCCAAAACCACACACAAGGACCAAACTCTGGGTTACTAAATAGCTACCGGAAAACTTAAAAGAGTAAACTGTGCCCGAGATTTTTTTAGAGAGCGCGCCGCGCCGCTCCGCTCCGGGAGGGATCATCGTCAGGGTGGGACGGGGGTGGAATTGTCCAGTCACGTGACGAACATAGTTCTTCCGTTCCTCAACCCATATTATTTCCACAGTCATTGTCATTAATCACGAATTACGGGATGATATACGAAAATGTAGGTTTACTTTGAAATAGTGCAAATGATACTTTTCCATCTACAATCTTCAGATCAAAGGATTCAAGTTCTTACACAGTGCAGCATGATTTGTGCAACAGAAGACATCTCGAATATCGATTGTCGGAAAAAAACATTTTCTCGGGGACATTTTGTTCCGAATACGCATTCGGTGGAAGTCTTCAGCCACCAGGAAATGGTTAACATAAACAAATTGGTTGCCTGAGGTTCTCCGGGGGGGGGGGGGGGGGGGGGGGAAGTAGCCTCATCGGCTAGAGTCCTCTATTTCACAAACAAAAACAACAATTGCTTCCTTGAAAATTTATCGATCAACCCTTTTCACAGACGTCCAGCTTACCACTTCCCGTCAATGCAGTAAGATAGAATATGTAGTTTTCTCAGGGACAATTGGGCGAAAGTTGGGGTTTTCTCAAGGAAAACTGGTCAACAAGTTGGGGAAAAAAGCTCGAAAAGTAATCCAGAAAAAAATCCTGTGTGCGGCCCTCGGAATATGATGGAATATGTTGAATATTATTATGGTTCAAGTGATTATATTTGACCCTGGAATGAAAGTAAGCTCAGAAACAAGTAGATTTTTAGCCCTTCCAACGAGATGGATAGCTCTTGGAAAGGATAGACACTTTTCAGATTACAGCCTGTCCGAGAATTGCGTGGAATCCATTTCGTTTGGTGATTAGGACACATAGCGGTTAAACCTGGAACTTCAACTCGAACTATTCAGAAATTTATTAACTCGCTTTTGATGATACTTGCTGTTTTATGATGCGATTTTTTGTTACCTAGGGAGGAGGTAGCCTAGTCGTGCCTTCCACTAATTCGTACCACCCTGATGCCAGCGTTACTGGTAAGAATCAGGAGACCGGCGCAACCGGCATATAATGGGGCTCTCTGAGGGCAGTGTTTAATCTACTGAAATACTGAAACACTGAAATTTACTAAAAACTAAAATTAAAATACAAAATAAAATATGGTCAATGATGGAGGTAGACTGATTGGGTCTTTTAAAACATTCAAAACATAATAGGCATCAACAGGGGGGGCTATTTGTAAAACGATCATCGTAATGACCTTGGCCTTCCTTCATTGGAAGGTCCAAAATCGCACACAGAGGACCAGGCTCCGGGTTACCTATTTAGCGTGTTTTCCGATATTTAGGATGTTTTCCGGTATTTAGTGTTTTCCGGTGTTTAGTATGGCCCACATGGGATCATCAGAGGAATAAATTTATGAGGTCAACCACCAAAATTTAAATTCACTGAAATTCATAGACTAGTACTCGAACCAAAAGTTGGCCTCTTTGCTCATTGTAAATACAGATAAGCATGCAAAATGGAGGGATGTGAAGTTAGTTTGTGGTTCATTGTTCATTATTCGCCAGTTTGTTGTTCGATATTCTCGAATAACGAACAGTGAGCTAGTTTGTTG